GAGAGCAACCAAAGGACTTGTATCCATGCGTATTTGCATACCCCATGGACACAGACACTGGGGCGGTGGGGGGCTTGCCTGGGGTGGGAATGACTGGGGGGTGGGGAGGGCAGGTAATCAATGAGGGGGGAAGGGGTCATATGTAAAACTTTAGACAATTTTTTAAAAAATGTACTTCAGAGGTAGTCAGAAAGTTATATTTCCAACTGTTTACAAGGAACTTTATGATTTATTCATGTATGGGGAAATATGTCTTCAGCTCCATTAGTCACTTCTCATTATATTCTATGACAAGAAAGGGTACACTTCTCTCTATTTATTGTGGATAAACTGTGACTGGTGAGGAGAGGAAGCTGCCTGGGGCAAAAGCTGCCTGGAGGACCAGAACAACTAAAGGGAAGAACCAGGAGTGGTCCCTGAGCCTCGGAGCGGAGTAATGAGCCTCTCTGGCTCCCACAGCTACTATAGCTGCTCAGAGCTCTGCAAAAAACTAATCCACTCACATCAGGAAAACAAATCACTCACAAATCTCACTCGGGAACCAACACCCTGAGGAGCGCAGCTTGCTCCGGACCAGGGCGAGAGCACTCACTTTCTTTGCGAACTTGCTCCAGCGTGGCAGTCAGCTCTTCCTTTAGAACAGTGGCTTCCTGGGCGATCTTCTCTCCCTTGTCTAATAAATTCCAGGTTGCTTCCTCCACAGAAGCTAGAAGAACTCTGGCTCTTTTGGAACATCCTTTCTTCCTGTTAGAAGGATTCTGGGGACAATTTACAAGTGTAGTCACCTAAAATTGAAAAAAATACAAGTCACGCATTAGACAACTTGTGAGAACGCAGTCCTGGGGTAGCATAGCTCAGAACGAAAGGAAGTGCATCATAGAAACCGAGTGCAGCACAGAAACATGGAGCAGTACTACTGGTGCATCCCCAAAAGTCAAGGCACCGAGAAGAGTATTATCAACCACCACAGAGCTCCCGGTTAATGGTAGGTAGGAGCGCAGGCCCATCTAGAGGGAGGGCCCTAGAGATGGAGTCTCATCAAGTTTTACCACTAGGACAATGTTTTAGAAGGTCGTCTGTGTGTGTACCTGTGTGTTGTTTTTATTAAAGAAACTTCACATGGAAAAAAAGGATACAGAACCTTGATAAAGCAGTCAAAAATGAGGAAAATTTGAAAATGATGTATCTCAAAAATATCAAATAATTATAAAATGTATGTCACTTTGTAGCCAGCAGTAGTCTATTTAGGCTGGGAATAGAGGTTACTGATATTAGAGGGGTGGGAACTACTCTGTAACATATAAAGTGGTGACCTCAGTAGAACCAAATCCGAGTCCTTACCGTAACCTACATTTCTGGCCCTTTGTAACCTCTCTTCCCTGTCTCTACACACTCCTCTCAAACAGGTCCCACTCAAAGTCCCCTATCAAGAGGCCTTCCTGACCACCCCCACCATCTGTCCCCTCACCCCACTTTATAGTTCTTCAAAACACTTATAGAACCTGATATTTTCCACTTGTTTACCTGTCTATGGCATGCTTCCAATACTCAAATGTAAACTCCATGCAAGCAGGAAATGTATTTTGTTCTCCAGCACACAGAACAATGCACAAAGTCGGTGTTCAATAAATATTATATAAATGGATGAATGAAGGCAGTGTTTGAAAAGAGGTTCTTTTAAATGTCTATATTTTGAATTGCCTGAATATGTTAATAATGAACACAATACTTTTGAAAAGGTTTAAAATAAGGATAAAGTCATAATGAGAGCATTGTTTAGAGACAGAAATTAAGCATTTATATTTGGAACAAAACCTCATACCACATTGCATTGTGGAAAATAGCCATTTCTTAATTAAATGTTGGAGCCCAATAACAAAATTTGGTTAGCATTTCCATGTGCAGAGCTTGAAGGTCACCATCATAGAGGAAGGAAAACAACCTTGAACCTAGTATTTAAGAGAAGAGCAGGAATTCCAGTAGAAAGCTCAACTCCTGCTTGTCATCAAATAGCCAAAGCTTTTAACAATCCGGTGCCACATCATCGACAACAGAATGACAACCCCTGAGGATTTTGCTCATTTATGGAGCATTCAACATTTGTTTAGTTAGATATCTGAACCCAGGTTTTTTAGTTAGGAACTAAGAAAGAACTTGCAAGCTATAAGGAAATGCGTGGATGAAAATAATTTTTGTCTGCCCTTTTATCCTCCTGTCCAACATACCCTCTGGTGTTATTTTTTGTTTTTTTTTTTTTAATATATTATTATTGATTTCAGAGAAGGGAGAGGGAGAGAGAGATAGAAACATCACTGATGAGAGAGAATCATTGATCGGCTGCCTCCTGCACACCCCCCACTGGGGATCAAGCCCGCAACCTGGGCATGTGCCCTTCACTGGAATCAAACCTGGGACCCTTCCATCTGCAGGCCATCGCTCTATCCACTGAGCCTAACCGGCTAGGGCCATACCCTCTGTTTTATTCTAACTTGCTTTATCCCCATGTTCATAACCCAGAGGGGAATGCCTTGCAGCAAGCCTTTGTTCCTGCTCCTGGGAAATGAGAACAATCCTATTATCCTGTAAGATTATGTGAAGGTTAAATAATGGAAAATGTTTTGTAAAATGCATAACATGATACAGATATTGGTTGGCATTTAATGTGTATTTCCTAGTCCGTTCCCCACGTTGATATAGAAAATCTGCTATGCGGTCCTTGTCAAAGGTGTTCTCTCTGGGCCTAACCTTATCTTGCTCTTGAGGTTCCCTGTGCTGAATGTGATGAAGGCAGTTAATAAAGCACATTCTATATGCGTTACAAGCAGCCAATGGGCCTCGCGTCTCTATCATGCATTACATAAAGATGATAATAAGCCTGATTTATTACATGGATTTTCACATAGTCTAAAAAGCAAATATCTCACTATTATCAGTCTAATTTGTGTATCAAGAGTTAAAAGATACTTGCCCAGATTAAGACATATTATAGCACCTAGTTTAAAACCTTTGTTTAAAATGAAGAATAAGTATCATTGTCTGAAATGTTCCTTCAGAATGTATTTTAAGTGCCACAATTCATGATGCTTCCCACTGAACATTCCTCTATTATTGTTCTGATCCTCCATGCGCCAAATGTTTGAGCTTTGAAATTAAAATGAGCATTCCAGAAATGCTTTGTTCCTTATAATAAATGCCAGAGAAGAAAGAAATGTGAAAAGAACATTGTCTAACAACACTGTGCTCCCATCAAAAAAAAGAAAATGCAATTGCAACTCGCAAGTTATTCACTTTTATAAATCATTTATGTCTGTCTTCTTTTAAAATGCTCCAATATGGTTATTTATTATTGATTAAACCAAAGTCAAGTGATGGTTTCAATGATTCATTTTAGTTCAAAAGTATACATGGCTTGGTAATCCTGGGAGGGAGAGGCTGAAAACAAAGCTAAACCTTTTTTTTTTTTAACCCCAACTCCACTATAGAATCTAAGGACTCCTGTCACTCATATAACAGATGATTCTCACCAAGGGTTGAGGGGTGCTATCTTATCTAAAAGTCTCATCTCTTGAGGGAATACCAACAACCAGTAAAAATAGCTTTCAAGTCATTCTGTAAAATAATTCTGTTTCTTTTTCAGTATAAAATCAGTGACATTTTTCTAAGAACATAAACTTTAGTTGGAATTTACAGCAAAGATGGTTCTTATGCAGGGTCCAAGCCCATCTTGCTAACCTTTCTTTTTGTCACTGATTCCCACCCCTCCCCACCCCTCCTTCTCATACCTTAGCGACCCCTCTCAAACGGAAAATCTTCAACACCAGGCTTGCGGCTCTTAAAGAACTTGGATTTGCTCATTTTCCTCAGTCTGTAAGTCTGTGCTAGGCCACAGACACACCTTCACGATAAATACATGTATGAGTTCCTCACTGAAATGGTTCTAAATTAGAGACCTCAAGTACTATGAAAAGGAGTTTCCTACTTTCTTAATTCTGCATGTTGAAAATTCCATAAAACCAGGTATCTTTTTAATAGTATATAATACTGCCCTAACCGGTTTGGCTCAGTGGATAGAGCATCGGCCTGTGGACTGAAGGGTCCCAGGTTCAATTCCAGTCAAGGGCATGTACCTTGGTTGCGGGCGCATCCCCAGTAGGGGGTATGCAGGAGACAGCTGATCGATGTTTCCCTCTCATCGATGTTTCTAACTCTCTATCCCTCTCCCTTCCTCTCTGTACAAAATCAATAAAATATATTTTTAAAAAATAGTATATAATACTGATGTATTAAAATTTAGAGGTCCAAAAAAAGGGTGTTCTAACCTTTCCTCGTTCACGTGTGCTCTAGATGCGCCAAGGACATGGAGAGTTGAATTGCTGTGCTTAGTGAGCCAAGCCATCGACTTCATGCAGAGCCACACACGCACACAGGAGCTTTGCAGAAACTGGCGAGAGGCTGCAATTGACTTTCATAGGCTGCATCAGCGCACAAGTGCTTCAGTGCCTCAGACTAAAGCCAGCTTTGTGGAAGTCTTCTCTAATGCCAATTGGTAACACATTTATATTCTATAATCATGTTCTTTCCCACTCTAACTCATTCGGGGGGGGGGGCGGGGAGAGGGGAAAGAGAAAGAGTGAGAGAAAAGTTGATGTGAGAGAGAAACATCGATTAGTTGCCTCCCACACATGCCCCAACCAGAGATGAAATCCACAACCTGGGTATGTGCCCTCATCGGGAAATGAACCTGCAACCTTTTGGTGTACAGGACGACACTCCAACCAACTGAACCACACCAGCCAAGGCTAACTAATGCTTTCATTAATTCTAGTTATCATATTAGTAAAAAAAAATGTTAAAGTCATTTGTTTATTAGCTAAAACACTTTGAATTTTACCTTCCTCCAATAGCTAACAAGAACCTTCAGGACTACTTTTACTTCCTTGAGTTAATTTTAATATGTGATACAAAATATAAGACATTTAAGCAATGTTAATTAGCTAAAATTTCAGAGTTTTGGAAGAAATTTAAAGGATAGAAAAATAAAATTGTCTATAGATAAGTAAAACCAGTGATCCCTTTAAAATTAAAGGTATTTTCTAATTTTTGTTGGGGGTGAGTCCCTTCAGGTCACTGATAATTTCAACTGTTCTTAAAAACAACTAGTGTATTAAAAAAAAAGTATTAAGGAAGAATGAAGTGTTGGGAACCCAGCAAATGCATGGGTTAACATTTAACATTCCCCCAAAACCAACTATAATCTTCAGTTAGCATTTGACACTCTCCAAAACCAACTATAATCTCCTTTTAGTTCGCCTCATGCCAATAACTACTTATCGAGCACATATAGAAAATAAAGATGAGTAAGCTCCAGTACGGGAAAAGAGATACAACCAGCCGTGATATAAAAGGCAAATGATAACTGCTTACACTTATAAGTACAAAGGGAGTGCTGAAGCGACTGCAGACATTCACAAGGATTACGGAGGGCTTCCGAGAACAGCCTTGAAGGACAGACAGTTTCTGCCACGAGAGATTGAGGAGAAGGTGAGCCAGGTGAATTGAACCGTGTGCAAAGGGACAGAGATGAAAATTACTTTTTTCTGAGAATAGCAGATAGTCAAGTGTGGCAAACTGTGGAGTAAAAACAGGAATTTGGGCAAGAAGTAAGGTTAGGAAGTAGGCTATCGCTTGAATATGAAGTGTCAAAGACCAAGGAAAGAGTTAATGTTGCATGCAGTAGGCGACAGACACTGCACATAGCGTGCCCAGAGCGGAAGCCTTCTTTTAG